GGAGGGAGGGGGATGTCCGGTGGGGGTGCGAGGGGGGGGCGACGGGCAGCCCCTCACTCCTGGGCACATCGCCCTTCTCTGCAAGCTGTGGCTGGAGGATGGGAGCAAACTTGGCACCCAGACCAGCCTAAAGTTCTCCTGGCTGCGCAGAGAGAGGGGCGACCGGCTGCATCCTGCTGGGATGGTGCTGGACCACCACAGCATCTCCCCATCCCCACAGAGGGCGGGCAGGGCTGCCTGTCCCCATCATGGAGAGAGGAGGGGGGGCACTGCCACCCCACCCCAACTGCTCCTGCGGAGCTGGGGAGCCCCTCAGCAACATGTCACCACTCCCTGGGACCCCCCCGCAGCCCCCGCAGCGTGGTGGGTAGAGGCCCCCAGCATTGTGTCCCACCCTGGCGACCCGTGTAACCGGAGAAGAAATCAATCTGTGCTTTGAAGGCTCATCATGAGCCTCCTGCTCCGCGTTCCCTCCCTCCAGCAGGCAGCAGCAGGGGATGGGGGGTGGGCAGGGGGGGATCCGGACACCCCACCCTCCATCTGTGTCCCCCCGATGCATCTTGCAGGGGTTGTCCCCATGGGCACAGCTGTCCCCAGCCACCTTTGCTCCAGGGAGTCCATTGCTGGCGGGGGTCCTTGGACACGCAGAAGGGAGAAGGGGTATCCCCTGTTCCTTCCCTCCCACCCAGGGAGCAGGACAAGGGAGGAGGTGCCCCTCTATGGCACTGCAGGGGGTGCCCCAAGGTGTGCGAGTGATGCTAAAAGCAAGGGTGGGGGCTCTGCAGGTCACAAAATACCCTTCTCCATCCATCCCCGCCGGCGAGGGCCAAGCCAGAGAGGGGTGACAGGCTCGGTTGTGGTGGTTCCACCCGAGCATCTCCCAGCCCGAGGAGCTGGGAGCACATGGAAAGGGCAGCACGGAAAGCAGTGCCCGTGGCCGCTCCAGACAAAACTGGGGAGGGGGGGGTTGAGTTGGGGAGCAGAGGAGTTTCAAGCTGGGCTGTTTTATTTACCCCCCTGGCAATAAATCAGCGAGAGGAGCGTTGCGGTGCCACCACGGAGGAGGGTTTTCATGCACAGAAGTGGGGAGCGCCTCGCTGTTCCCCTGGGGACGAAGGAAGCAGACAAGGCGCCCGCTCCTCAGCACGTTTCCAGCTGCTAAAAGCATCTCTCTGTCAACTTTCTGAAGGGGTGTAATGAGCCTGTGGGGCTGGTGGCCCTAAGGGACCCTTGAGGACACACAGGCGGGCTAGGCGCCCGCTCCTCAGCACGTTTCCAGCTGCTAAAAGCATCTCTCTGTCAACTTTCTGAAGGGGTGTAATGAGCCTGTGGGGCTGGTGGCCCTAAGGGACCCTTGAGGCCACACAGGCGGGCTCGGCAGCACCGATGGCCGTGGCAATGCCCACGGTCGCCCCGGGGAGTGATTTTGGCACAGGGGGAAGTTGTTGCCCTCTCTTACTGCAGGCACCTGGGCTGGGACTTCTCTCCCAGCCATGGTTTGGGGGCTGGTCGTGCCACAGGATGGTGGGTTTGCAGTTATTGCAAGGTCTGTGGGTCTTGATGTGGTCACCTGTCCCAGTGGGTCCATCCTCCAGCTGTGCCCTGCCAGGACCCATCTCTCTGTAAGGACCCATCTCTACAACCTGAAAGCAGAGTGTAGAGAGATGGGGGTTGGTCTCTTCTCTCAAGTCACAGGCAACAGGACTAGAGGAAATGGCCTCAAGTTACGCCAGGGGAGGTTCAGGTTGGATATTAGGAAAAATTTTTTCACGGAAAGGGTTCTCAGCCATTGGAATGGGCTGCCCAGGGAGGTGGTTGAGGCACCATCCCTGGAGGTGTTCAAAAGACAGGTTGATGTAGTGCTGGGAGGTATGGTTTAGTGATGGGGTTGCTTTATGGGTGTTGTGTGGGTGTCTATTTTTGTCAAAGTTCGGTTGACGGTTGGACAAGATGATCTTTAAGGTCCCTTCGAACCTAGAAGATTCTGTGATTCTGTAATCCCAGCCGTTGCTCCGCTGGGTGTCTGTGCCCAGCTGGGACAACTTCAGAGCATCCCTGGGATGGTGGAAGCTGAACCTCCTGGGAACCCCTGGTTGTGCCTTCTGTCCTGTCCTCTCCTAACCTGCACATCCCCACTGGCTTCGGTCAGGGGGACAATTCTGCTGCCTCCCCACAGCCACAGATCATGAGAAGCCCAGCCATTTGGTGGGAACAGACCCAATCCCCCCCCAGAAGGAGCCTCCTTCCCGGTCTTTCTCCCCAGTAAAGACTGGGAGAGGCTCTCTGGGGGCTCTCCCTGCACCCACCAGTGGGTGACCGCCACATCTCCTCTCCCTCCAGGCTCACCCACGACATCAGCCTCGAGGAGTTTGAGGATGAAGACCTCTCCGAGATCACCGACGAGTGTGGAATCAGCCTGCACTGCAAGGAGAGCCTGGCCACCCGGGTAAGTGTGATGGGGACGGGGAGGGACACGGGGACAGGCAGGGCCAGCAGCCCCCGTGCAGGACCACCAGCTCCCCAGACCAGTGACGCGTCCTTAATGTACCCATTGCCACCACCTCAACCCCTTCTGCTGGGCAGTGCCCTCTCCTCACCACAGCAGAGACTCTTCCTCACCCAGCCAAATCTAGGGGACAAAAAAGCATCTCAAAGCCCTTTGGTCCCCACCGTCCTCGGGTGTTTTGGAAGCAGGAGACCTGGTGTGCCAGTGAAACAGGGATGGAGGAAGCGGCTCCAACCCCAGCATGCAGTAGGTGAAATAAAAATGGGAGATGTGAAACCTGTGGAGATGCTGCAGGTGGGTCTCCTGTCCACCTTAAGCACCTTGGGGCACACTGTGGAGACCCTGATGGTGTTTGAACCGCCTGAGAAAGCGATGGGGGCAGAAATGTGGAGAGGAACAGAATTACATTGGACTTGGAGATATGCAGAGACTCTATGCTTTGCTGGTGAATTTAATGCTGAAGGGATGCTAATGCTGGAGGAGCAACCAAACCGTTTGAGAATCATTTCATCCCTCAGGAGAAATATTTCCTCTGCAAATTGGTTAAAGACCCAGCGAGAAGGGGAGAGGCAGAGGCATTTGTCGCAGATTTAAAATTAGAAAGTGAGTTTGTGGTGCTGGGAATCCCTCGTTGCAGGCAGGAGGGTACAGACCAGACCTCGTGTTGGGAGGTGAAGGTGCCCTGCTGTGCTCCCTGCTCTAATTCCGGACCTTCCCAGCAGGAATTCGGCTGCTGCCAGAGGTGGGGGCTGCTGCTCCGGCCGCAGCCACCTCCTGCTCCAGGATGGTATGGCCAGGGAAGGATGGGAAGAGCCCAGGGTCGTGTGTGTGCCAAAGGAAGGAGGGATAATGCTGGAGGCTAACGCAAAGGTGATGCTGGGTGTCTGTGAGGGCACAGCATCAGAGAGGGCAGGGACTCGGGACAATAGGAAATGCAGGCAGAGGATGTGGATGTATCACTGGATGCTTCCCACCAACCGTCCCAGTTCCCCCCTGCTGGTAGCACCACCGGGCTCCTAGGACAGGATTTGATTTTCTTTGCAGAGCTCCAGCCCTTGGCTGGGGTTTGGCAGGGAGGGTGAGGTGATGGGGGGGGACTGCTGCAACCTTTCTCAGAGGCTGAGTTAAAATAGGCTGGTTTGCCCATTTAGAAGAGTTCACTGAGGGGTTTCTGTGTCCGTGCACTGCGATGTGGAGACCTCACCCTCGGCAGAAGGTTTGCTCGGGCTCCGGCAGCGAGCCCTGTGCCTTCCCTGGGGATGGCTTGGAGCTGCTTTGCACCAACACCCAGGGGCACGGAGAGTCTGCTGGCATGGAAGGAGCATTCAACAGGGCCAAGTGTTCCGTGCACTGCGATGTGGAGACCTCACCCTCAGCAGAAGGTTTCTTGGCTCCAGCAGCGAGCCTTGTGCCTTCCCTGGGGATGGCTTGGAGCTGCTTTGCACCAACACCCAGGGGCACGGAGAGTCTGCTGGCATGGAAGGAGCATTCAACAGGGCCAAGTGTTGGGTGCTGCACCCTGGGGAGGAATCACCCCTGCACCAGGACAGGCTGGGGGCTGACCTGCTGGAGAGCGGCTCTGAGGAGAAAGATCTGGGAGTCCTGGTGGACAATAGGGTGACCATGAGCCAGCAATGTGCCCTTGTGGCCAAGGAGGCCAACGGTCTCCTGGGGGGCATTGCCATCTGGAGCACTGGGTCCAGTTCTGGGCTCCCCAGTTCAAGGACAGGGAACTGCTGGAGAGGGTACAGCAGAGGACCACAAAGATGATGAGGGGCCTGGAGCATCTCTCTGATGAAGAAAGGCTGAGGGACTTGGGTCTTTGTAGTCTGGAGAAGAGAAGGCTGAGGGGCGATCTGATCAATGCTTATAAATACTTAAAGGGAGGGTGTCAAGAGGATGGAGCTGGTCTTTTGTCAGTGGTGCCCAGGGACAGGACAAGAGGAGATGGGCACAAACTTGTACATAGGAAGTTCCACCTAAACTTCTTCACTTTGAGGGTGGCAGAGCCCTGGAAGAGGCTGCCCAGGGAGGTGGTGGAGTCTCCTTCTCTGGAGACATTCAAAACCCACCTGGACATGTTCCTGTGCAACCTGCTCTGGGAGGACCTACTCTGGCAAGGGGTTGGCCTAGATGATCTCCAGAGGTCCCTTCCAACCCCGTATCATTCTGTGGGGATGCACGTCTGCCCCTGGGGGAAGCAATGAGCTACTCATGAACACAGCGAACGAAGAAGCCTACCATGCTCAGAAAAAAAAATGCCTGCTAAAAATATGTCCAAATGATTTGCTGGACGTTGCTCGAGGGACTGAGCTGAGAGCAGCGACAGCGACGGTGGTGAGAAGGGCTTTTCAATCCCGAATGTGGAAGGGGAGAGCCCAGCAGCCCCCAGCCCCACAGCTCCCTGCGTTCCTCAGACCCTCTATTTCCCCCTTCCCCACCACTCTCTGCTCCGCTGTGATCTGCTGAGCCAGCAGTTTGCTCTCGCCTCCCATCCCTCGCTCCATCACTAGACTTTCACCAGGTTGGGTTGGGTTGAGGGGGATCAGCCTGATGGAAGCAGCCGGGCCCAGGGGGAGGGCAGCAAATCAGTAACGACCTGCGGCCAGCATCAGCCAGCTAATTGCATCACGTGGGGACGGCTGGCTCGGTGAGTCAGCCCCATGCTGGGGGGCCTAGAGGGGGGACACCCCGTGGTGATGCCCTGCTCCCGGTGCTGGTACCGCATAGCGCCCGTGTTGTGTGGGATGGAGGGTCCTGGTCCTGGTCACCCCCCACAGCTCCGGACAGCTGGTGAAAGTCTAGTGATGGAGAGAGGGATGGGAGGTGCCCAGCAGCCCCCAGCCCCACAGCTCCCTGCGTTCCTCAGACCCTCTATTTCCCCCTTCCCCACCACTCTCTGCTCCGCTGTGATCTGCTGAGCCAGCAGTTTGCTCTCGCCTCCCATCCCTCGCTCCATCACTAGACTTTCACCAGGTTGGGTTGGGTTGAGGGGGATCAGCCTGATGGAAGCAGCCGGGCCCAGGGGGAGGGCAGCAAATCAGTAACGACCTGCGGCCAGCATCAGCCAGCTAATTGCATCACGTGGGGACGGCTGGCTCGGTGAGTCAGCCCCATGCTGGGGGGCCTAGAGGGGGGACACCCCGTGGTGATGCCCTGCTCCCGGTGCCGGTACCGCATAGCGCCCGTGTTGTGTGGGATGGAGGGTCCTGGTCCTGGTCACCCCCCACAGCTCCGGACAGCTGGTGAAAGTCTAGTGATGGAGAGAGGGATGGGAGGTGAGAGCAAACTGCTGGCTCAGCAGATCACAGTGGAGCAGACAGTGGTGGGGAAGGGGGAAACAGAGGGTCTGAGGAACACAGGGAGCTGTGGGGCTGGTGGCATCCAGCAGCTCCGAGCTTCCTGACCCAGTGGTGAGTCTCCCGAGAGATGGGCAGACCCAGGAACTGGCCCAACAGCCAGCAGGGAAGCACTGGGATGGAGCGAGGGGATGGACCCGGCTGGAGGGCTGGGAAGGTGGCTGTTGGATGGGGACAGTGGGTGACCTTGGCAAGACTGGGAGTCTGGGCAGAAAAACCCAGTGGCAGGAAGGGGCAGCCAGTGCGGAGGTCAGCACCCAAACAAAGGTGGGGCTTGGGGGTTGTTGGTTTTTTTTTTTTGGTCCCGGAAAAAACAAAGATGACTTCACCATGGGCTATTTTAGCAGCTTTCCAGAAATAGTGGCTCAGACACGCAAGAAACTGCAAGGAGGCGTAGACTGATGTCTGCGTAAGAGGCAACTCTATCCACCAACAAGGACTGTGCCTCACGGGTGAGAGGCCACCTACTAAGAATGGGGAACAGCCCCAAGTGCACCTCAAAAAACCCCTTAATTTCAACAAGAAGTCCCTGGTAAATGAAAACTGGGAGCGAAGCGAGGGGCTGGCTGAGGGGAGGGCTCAGCGGAGCAGCAGAGCTGCCCTTAGGGCTGTTGAACAGCAGGGCAGGAGTGGGGGCCACCAGGGCAAGGGATGCCACCCCCACCTGACAAATGGCAGTGGTCGGGCACGTTGAGAAGTACGGTTGAAGCAGAAGCACCAGGCTTCTGCTTCGGGTTTGGGCTCGCTTTGGTTGCTTGGAAATCTGGGGTGTCTATCCCTGGTTTCAGCAAGATGGATCCTGGCAACGACCAGGCTGTGGTTGATAAAGGCTCGGTGCCTCATCTGTATCCCAGGAAGGAAGAAAAAGGAAAAAAAATAAGAAATACTCTTCTTGGAAATACCTGTGAGCACGAGAACGAGAGCCTGAAGGAAGAGAGAGAAGAAGATAGCCCAGGGAAGTTATGGATGCTCCATCCCTGGAGGGGTTCGAGGTCAGGCTGGATGGGGCTTGGAGCAACCTGGTCTGGTAGGAGATGTCCCTGCCCAGGGCAGGGGGTTGGGACTTGATGATTTTTAAAGTCCCTTCCAACCCAAACCACTCTATGATTCTCTCTAGGGCTGTTGCTGAGCCTTAGTGGTATGCATTAAAGGGGCTGAACCAGCCGTGAAGATACAGATGTGTGGAGAAGAAAAAAAACCAAACCACTTTGGTTTTCCATCATAATAAGCCTGCTGGGAATGCCAGGCTTCCTCTTGATGTTCACCGTTGCTGATCCAGAGCGCCACTGGCAGTAGCTGCCCCTGGAAGGCCAGTGGGACCCACTGCAAAGGGGGAAGCAGCTGCCACAAGCTGGCCAACCTGCTGATGTTCACCGTCTGGTTCAACCTGCTGGTCCAGGGACCGGTGGGGAGCCGGCTGCTTGGGCTGGGAGCAAAGGATACAGCAGGAAGGTGGCTGCATGCTCCAGGTGGCTTTTCAAAGGCTGTCCCGTGAAGGTCCCTCTGTGATCCATCGCCAGCTGTGGCTGCACCAGGCTGGGGGCAGAGAGGCTTCTCCTGGTGCTTTGAAGGCAGGGGCAAAGCAATCACAGCTGGGTGGTAGGGAGAGGGGCCACAGTGGTTCCCTCTGCTTGGCAAGACCCCCTTGTTTCCCCATGCTGGTAAAATCACGGAATCATGGAATCGTTGGAGTTGGAAGGGACCTTCTAGAGATCATCTGGTCCAACTCCCCTGCCAAAACAGGGTTGCCCAGAGCACATCACTCAGGACGGCATCCAGGTGGGGCTTGAAGATCTCCAGAGAAGGGGACTCCACACCCTCCCTGGGCAGCCTCTTCCAGGGCTCTGCCACCCTCACCCCAAAGAAGTTCTTCCTCAGATTGGAGTGGAACTTCCCATGGTCCAGCTTGTGCCTGTTGCCCCTCGTCCTGTCACTGGGGACCACTGAAAAGAGTCCGGCTCCATCCTCCCTCAACCCACCCTTTAGATCCTCGTCAGCATTAATAAGGTCTCCCCTCAGCCTTCTCTTCTCCAGGCTAAAGAGTCCCAGCTCTCTCAGCCTTTCCTCATCAGGGAGATGCTCCAATCCCTCAGTCATCTTTGTTGCCCTACGCTGGACTCTCTCCAGCGGTTCCCTGTCTCTCTTGAACTGGGGAGCCCAGAACTGGATGCAGGTTAAAGAGTCCCAGCTCTCTCAGCCTTTCAAATGCTGAAGGTTTTGTCACTCCTCCTCCCACAGGGAAGGTGGCAGGGGCAGGGCAGCAGGGAAGAGCCTTTTGCCCAGTCAACCGTAGCAGGTAGGGACACCACCTTGGGTATCTCCCTTTCATTCCCAGGGTGTGTGGCAGCCCCCATCAGGCGGTTCCCCTGGCTAGACTGGTGCTCCTGGGGGTGCTCCCAGCACCTCGCAATCGCAGCAGGGCTTGAACTGCTCCCCCCCAGCCCTGGGGCCCATGGAGCACAGCACCAGGACCATCAGAGACCAGTTGCTGGGCACTGGGACTTCTTGCCATTGGGGTAGCACCGTGTGGGTAGGAGGTATAAGCAGCAGGAGCACACCAGTGTCGTGTGATGGAGGTTCTGTGATGGAGGTGTGAGCCTCTCCATGACTGCGTCAGGGTCCAGGTGTGCATCTTGTGTACGTCCCACCCGCAGGATTTAGGCGCTGGTTCTGCTCTCCCACAGGCTAAAGAGACTTTGCTCTTCTCACCATCAGATCTGTGCTGTGGGGTGAGCGTACTCGGGCTACCTTAGGTTGCACCAACTTGTTCCTGGAGGGCAATGGAGTAGTGTCCTTCCACTTAGAGAGATTTCTCAACACCTAGTCCCTGCCATGGCTTTGCAGATCACTGCATGGTCCTGCTCCCAGGGTAAAGTGATCTATAGCTGTGTGGTTTCAAAATCACTTTGTTGTGCTGGAGTCCATTAATAAGTAGCTGCAGTGGCCGTGGTTTCCTCCTAGCTATTGAACCTGGAACGGCGCATCCCTCCTAGGGCACAATTTTCTCCAGAACGGGTACTGTTTGGCTTTTCTGCGTCCTTCTGGGACTTCCCCTCCTCTGTGAGTTTTCTGAGTGATGGCTGCAGCTACAGAATTACTGAGGCAGCATCATTAGCAGCCTAGATTGAGCATCACCAGCTGACTCAAATACGCTTACCTTGGCCAGGTATAATCTATTTATTGGGTTCTCCATCCATGAGGATATTCAAATATGAGGGGCAAGGGCCTGAGCGACCTGCTGTGGGGTAGGGGTTGGACCAAAGCTCCAACCAAAATGATTGCATGCTCGTGTGAGTCCCGGTTGCCAGCACAGTTGCCCCCCAGTTCTTTTCCTTTTTCCCTGTTTCCTTGTTAAAACCCGTGTGATTTGCCATAGGCAGCTGGTGGAACCTACCACAGAAACACCGAGCTCGTATGAAGGCTACAGTTAAAAACAAGGGAGTTAAATGTGTAAAGCCTGGAGAGGATGGGTTTTGGTGGCAGTGCTCTTCCAGGTACCTGTCTGGAATGGAAGGAGGGACGCTGGGGTGAAATGTCACCCCATGAGAGGGGTCATACTGTGTGGGCAGCAGGCAGAGCCCTGCCTGTGCTGGCTTTTGCCCAACAGTTTAGGATCTGGTAGCAACGAGAGCTCTTGAAAGGGGCTGCCAGAGCTGCTGGGGCTGTTTCTTCTCCCACGGCTCAAGGGGCATCCTCCGTGCAGCCGGAGACATGGACTGTAGAGTGGGGTTAATGGTTGGACTTGATGATCCCAAGGGTCTTTTCCAACCTGAATGATTGATTCTATGATTCTATAAGCATCCGCTAAAAAAAAAAAAAAAAAAAAAAGAAAAATGCCCTTCTCCCCCTCTGCCCTCTGACGAGCTTTCCAGCCACCACAAAGAGCTGATAACACGGGGAATTCAACTCGCTGGTGCCAAGTTGCAGCCTTTATTGCTGGCTGCAGCAACCCGTGCGTGTGCGAGCTCCGGTTACTGCAAGGGAGGTGGCTTGGGAAGGAAACCACTGACCTTTAAACACCTGCAGCCACGAGGGGACATGGGTGCCCAGCAATGCAGCCACAAGGGCACCCCCTCCTCGCGGCCTTCATGGGTTCTGGTGGCCACCTTGCTCGAAGGGTGCGAGGGGAAAGAGAGGGGGCTGCTCCTGGCTGCTGGCCACTGCTGGTGGGTGGCTGGGAAGCTGCTGCTGGCTTGCTGGGCATCCCTTCTGCACGGGCTTCGTGTCCCCATAGGTGCAAATGCAGGGTGTGTGAGAAGAGGTCTTGTTCAGCCTCAAGGTGAGATGGCTGAGAGGGATGTAACTGCTGACTGTTGCAGGGAAGAAGGAGCCCGGCTCCTCTCAGAGGTGTGCAGTGGAAATTTTAACCCCCTAGAAAGTCGTAGTGTGGCGCTGGCACTGCCGCCCAACGCGGTGGTGGGTTCTCCGTCCATGAGGATAGGCAAACATGAGGGTTCAGGGACTGAGCGATCTGCTCTGGGGTAGGGGTTGGACCAAAGCTCCAACCAAGATGATTGCATGCTCGTGTGAGTCCCGGTTGCCAGCACAGGAGCCAAGAAAGGGCATGGGCTGGCCTTGGAGAAAGAGTCATAGAACAGGCCAGGTTTTGGAAGCTGCTGCTGGCTTGCTGGGCATCCCTTCTGCACGGGCTTCGTGTCCCCATAGGTGCAAATGCAGGGTGTGTGAGAAGAGGTCTTGTTCAGCCTCAAGGTGAGATGGCCGAGAGGGAAAAATAACAAGGCAGAAGGAGCCCGGCTCCTCTCAGAGGTGTGCAGTGGAAATTTTAACCCCCTAGAAAGTCGTAGTGTGGCGCTGGCACTGCCGCCCAACGCGGTGGTGGGTTCTCCGTCCATGAGGATAGGCAAACATGAGGGTTCAGGGACTGAGCGATCTGCTCTGGGGTAGGGGTTGGACCAAAGCTCCAACCAAGATGATTGCATGCTCGTGTGAGTCCCGGTTGCCAGCACAGGAGCCAAGAAAGGGCATGGGCTGGCCTTGGAGAAAGAGTCATAGAACAGGCCAGGTTGGAAGGGACCTCAGGAGATCACCTGGTCCTACCTTATGGGTGAAAGGGAGCCTAGGTGAGGTTATCTAGCACCGTAGTGTGGCGCTGGCACTGCCGCCCAACGCGGTGGTGGGTTCTCCGTCCATGAGGATAGGCAAACATGAGGGTTCAGGGACTGAGCGATCTGCTCTGGGGTAGGGGTTGGACCAAAGCTCCAACCAAGATGATTGCATGCTCGTGTGAGTCCCGGTTGCCAGCACAGGAGCCAAGAAAGGGCATGGGCTGGCCTTGGAGAAAGAGTCATAGAACAGGCCAGGTTGGAAGGGACCTCAGGAGATCACCTGGTCCTACCTTATGGGTGAAAGGGAGCCTAGGTGAGATTATCTAGCACCGTGGCCAGTTGTATCCTGAAGACCTCCAGTGATGGAGGGGGGCTCTACCACGTCCCTGGGGAGGTGGTGCCAGTGAATGATTGTTCTCCCAGCAAAAAAAAATGCCCTTGTTATGCCAAGATGAAGCTTGGTGGTGAACGTGACGGTGACGTGCACCTACAGGAACCCAGCAGGTGGGGGCGGGGGGCTCTACCACGTCCCTGGGGAGGTGGTTCCAGTGAATGAGTGTTCCCGATGGGGGGGCTCTACCATGTGTGAGTCCCGGTTGCCAGCACAGGAGCCAAGAAAAGGCACGGGCTGGCCTTGGAGGAAGTCATAGAACAGGCCAGATTGGAAGGGACCTCAGAAGATCACCTGGTTCTACCTTATGGGTGAAAGGGAGCCTAGGTGAGGTTATCTAGCACCGTGGCCAGTTGTATCCTGAAGACCTCCAGCGATGGGGGCGGGGGGCTCTACCACGTCCCTGGGGAGGTGGTTCCAGTGAATGAGTGTTCTCGATGGGGGGGCTCTACCATGTCCCTGGGGAGGTGGTTCCAGTGAATGAGTGTTCTCGATGGGGGGGCTCTACCACGTCCCTGGGGAGGTGGTTCCAGTGAATGAGTGTTCTCCCAGCAAAAAAAAATATCCTTGTTATGTCGAGATGAAGCTTGGTGGTGAACGTGACGGTGACGTGCACCTAGGCACCCACCAGGAATGAGGTGATGGGGATGAGTGTTCTCGATGGGGGGGCTCTACCACGTCCCTGGGGAGGTGGTTCCAGTGAATGAGTGTTCTCCCAGCAAAAAAAAATATCCTTGTTATGTCGAGATGAAGCTTGGTGGTGAACGTGACGGTGACGTGCACCTAGGCACCCACCAGGAATGAGGTGATGGGGGGGTGCCCCAACCCCAAGGATGGATGTTGCCCCCACCACCACCCACCCATCTGCCTGGGGGTGAGGGGGGGGACGGGACATGGTGCTTCCCGGCCTCGGGAATAACATCCCTGCCCCTTTAAAAGGAAGAGGCCGCCGGGTGCTGCTGATGATGCTGCTGATGCTGCACCGGCTCCCCCCTTTTCCCGGCCCCGACGGGGAGGCGCGGCGCGGCGGCTCCCGGTCCTCCCGCCCCCTTTTCCTTCTCTCCCTCCCTCCCGGTGGCCTGATCGTTACCGTTAATCCCGGCAGGGCCATGTGAGCCGGGCGGGCGGCGGGGCCCGGGCGGCGGGCGGCGGGGAAGCCAGCCGGTTGCAGGCGGAGATGCTCCAGCTCGACCTCATCGACGCGGCGGGGGAGGCGCCGGCCGAGGAGCAAACGGCCCCCGAGCCTC